CTTTAGTAAGGAACGTGTAAGAAAGGAACTAATTTTGAATGAACATTTTAACATATGTGCAATTGTATTGTATCTCAGCCTGAAAGCAACAGGAGGCATATGTCATGACCTAATTTGTTAAAAAGTAAAAGAAAAAAGTGGAAGAAGGGAGCTAAAAATTCTCCTCTGAGGTTGCAGCTGACCGTCTTCCTTAAATGAAATGCCATTAGGCTAGAACCCAGAAGACCTGAAAGTACCTCAGTGAAACATACTTCACAGTAAATATGGTTAGGTGTTAGCCTCCATAAAATCTGTAAAACAAAAACACTATGCTCTGAACATATATCAGTGTTTAAATGGTAGAAATGGTGCCACCATTCTAGACCATGCAGAAGTTCCATCCCTGAAGAGAGAGGGGAACAAGGCAGGCTTGAGCTGCTTCAGACTCTTCTCATGGCAATTTTGTTCTCCCTGTTAAAAAGCAGAGCATCTGATGTTGCAACAGGACCAGTGTTAAGCCTGGTACCATTGCTTAACTCACGCCCAGCTCATGCTAGCAACCAAGCTTACAAATTTGCCTTAGTTCCCTGAACTTGGCTGCTGATTTCAAATCAATTTCTGAACAAATCCACCCACATCTTTATTGGAATTTCAATGATGCTTGGATCTCTGGGCCAAGTTTCCATCTTACTGACTCCTACTTTCCTCAAGAATGTTCTTCCTACCATTTTGAAGGCCTCCAGCATCTTCTTCCTTCAGCCACCAAAATGGGAACCCCTACCCTTTCGATTCTCTATGTCCTATTACTGTTCACAGCTCACAGCTCCAGGTTACCCTAATTTGTGCACACAGTCCCTTCCATCTCTAAGGTCAACAGAAGGGCTTTTGCCCAAGTAAACATTTATTGATGATTGCCTGTTATGAATGTTCTATTCCAGATAGCTTTTTCCTTTCTGAAGAAAAAGCATTTGATACAAAAGAAGTTCATCCAATAGTTAGCAGACATTTTGCTATGGCCTTTGACACTTTGAAGAATAGTGGCTGTATGCTGTCCACCCTTTAAACCAAGGAAAAGTCAATTTAAAGAAGACCTGTTTGCTCATTCAAATAAATCATACTCTTCTCATATTGCTACTGCACATTTTTTAGCATCAACAGCATGTTGGATACTGAATGAGAGTCACAACTTAGATTTTCATCATGATGGGGGACAGCAACAAAAGCCAGTGATATAAAACAGCAGTAGATAGGGCCAAGCCTGGTATGTTGGCTCCACACTTAATCCTGCTTAGACTGGACCCACTGAAATATACACTGATCGTCACACCAAATCTATTGTGGGGATTTCTGCATTTGATTGTGGAGGTAGGCACAGTGGAGGAGCAGTGGGAAAAAAATCAACAGGAAAGTAAAGAAAGGGGAAATATTCCCCAAATTAACATTGCTGGTCAAGAATTCAGATGATTTTTTAAAAAAATGTTCCTAGATTTAACATTTGCAGAAATTTTGCATCCCAGAAATCAATCTGTGGCAGTACAGACCAAGTAGCAATCTATGAACACCTTCTCTTAAACACTCTAGTCATAACTCTAAATGTAAATATTCCATGATCAAACATTGTCCAACACTTCCAATTTTGGTGGAAGGACATAAAAGGCCCGTGGGAGTATATGTCTTTTCCAAACCTTTCTGGGAGCTTTGAGCCCTGCATGTATCTAATATTTATACAGAGCACATAAACAGTTCTTACATTTGCAGTGCTTTCTCAGTCAAAAAAGGGAAGCACTCTCTCTTTTTGAGAAAGCAACCCAGTGCCTTCAAATATCATCTATTTTAAGTAAATAATGATTAAAAACGAACACAAGAGCAAAGCGTTTTCAGAAAGACTGGAGGCAGTGTTTCTTTCCCAAGCCAGCTTTGGTGACATGGACTGAAGGCACAGCATGCTTATGGAAATTAAGCAGTCTGTGTGTGTTACCTGGATGAGAGACCATCTGGGCACCCTATGTGCACCACTTAAATCTCTTGCAGGAAAAAAGAATATAAATAACGTGTGACATATCAATACACAATCTGGTAAAGTCCACAAATCTGTCACTGGCTTGACTAACAAGACAGTGAACAAACATATGCAACAAGGGTCATTTCATGAACCAGGCCATGCATGAAGGCTTACTCACCAATATAAAGACTAATGAACAGTGCTTTCTATCTTTTCACAGTAACCAGTACTGTAAAAGTGTCTATTTTAGGTGCCTGCCGTTGTAATTAGAAGATGTATCTTTTCTAGAGAGACTTTTATACTATGGGTTTGCTTCTTCCATAAAAACCATCATACCTTCAGGCTGACACAACGAAAGTCATATTTGTTCTCCCCCCCCCCCACCCCAGTGATACATCCCACGGCAACAGGTCTACTTACCAAAAACCAAATCACCTAAATAAAAACCATGTGACTCCTATGTAATGAAATCCAGCTTGGAAACCTATCAGAAACTATACAGAACATGAATCATATTTCTTTGAATAGAAGTCAAGGGATTACTTTTTCTCTTGGTCAGTAGAAGTGATTGCCCATTTGAAATTTAAGGAAATATGCTGTTATTCTAAGTGATCACATGAAACTATCAAACACCCATAAACACTAAAAGAGAGGTAAATGTGTCCCGAGATAACAAATCAACCTGCAAGAGGAAAAAACCGGCAACATGTATTGGCAAGAAAAGATATTGAGATATAAGATAGTTATTCTGAACCTTTTATAGAACTTTCTTCAGGAAATGAAAAACTGCTTGCAAAGCCTCTTAGGAAAACAAAAGAAAACCCTGCTAAACCTCTATGAAATTAGGAAATGGAGCATGAGAACAGTATAATGTAATGTAAGGGATTACAAAGAATGCACACATGCTATGGACCTGAATTCAGTGCATAATCCAGCCATCTGTTCAGCAATTGTGCCACACACATAACACAAGCATGCACACTAATACAGATCTGAGGAAGCTCTGAAAAGGACATACAAGTTGCATTATTCGAATGTTTTGCTATTTCAGAACATCACAGTAATGGCATGCTGTCTGCAAATAATGCTATAGGAGTTGACACTTGCCACTGGCTAAGGTTATCCTATATTGGTTTGTGAGATACATGGGACAAATACATATTGTGTATAATATTTATTCTGTGATTCTATCTTGAAAAGGTTTCTTGCAATTCTATTTCTAAAATGTTAGATACATTTGCATGTGTTCCATTCCCTAATCCCAACTCCTTTACCAGCTTACTAAGGGAGTCCCACTGAGGTTACAATCCTATAACCACTTACTTGGGAGTAAGCCTCACTGAACATAACTGGACCTAGTTCTACACTGACAGATATAGGATTGCGCTGTGCAGTGAATGGGACTCACTTCTTCCTAAGTTGCATCAACAATTGATTCTCCTCATTCAGACCTATTCAATTTACATACCAGCTCCAGAATGTTGAACATTAAAGTTGAGTAATACCTTATGCTCCACTAAAGATACTGTTCTAATATGGATTTGGGGTTTTAATTGTTTATTTTTTTATGGTCTACATAGCTCTCTTCTTTGCATTAAGGTTGCAAGTCAAACAGTGTGAGCTGGAGCTAATGGCTACACTGTTTCTCATGGAGTTCCCAAACAGCCATTTGTGTATGTACAAATTGGTGTGAAAAAGAAAAAAAGCACCCTACTGGATCTTGACAGCTGTCAATAGAAACAAGAACTGTTTCAGCAGAGTTTTTTCCACTTCCACTGCAGGAAAAACACTCTGCGAACTGTAACAACCTGTAACCAACATAGCAAAACTAGAGGTTCAACTCTACTAAGTCAAATTATAAAAGGAAAGCTCGACAAACTCCATCAAGATTATCCTCAACCATTCCACATAATGAAGTCTGGGCAACTGACACTCACTGACAGCAGGTGTGCGTTTGTTTAGATTGTGGTGTTGATCAAGTCCTGAGGCTGAGGGGAAACTATGACTCGTGCCCAGATCCTTGCCTGCACGCTCGTTTCGTTGGCTCAGGATCCAGAGAGCGGGAGTTGCGAAGAAAGCACCCCTCCGAAGGAGCAGAGCCCACCTCGAACTAGGCTGCCCGCCTCTTCTCGCCCACCCCTCTCTGCGCGGCAGATCCGCTTTTGCTCAACAGAGGAACTTTAATGAGTTTGACAGGCTCAAAGCTGCGACCTCCCCCCAACCTCCTAAAAATAACATCCGCAGCCGAAAGAACAGAAATAACCACCCGGAGAAGAAAGGGGGGGGGGCACTAAGGCGTTAAGAGACGTCGCTGCTGTCAGAGAAGGAAGCGGCTCCTTAGTTAGCGAATGCGGTGACTAAACGCTAAATCTGGATCCCAAGACTTGGAAGGGGAGGGGAGAGAAATGCCCACACAGCCCTTCACACGAAGGGATGGAGACGCGCAGCTCCTCCTCTTCCCTCCACCCACCTCCTTACACACCAAACTCAGGAGTGCGTGGAAACGGGGAGCGCTGGCCCAGGCACGCAAGCCACCCCCCTCCCCGCTCAAGACACCCCTAGCCGAGCCCGGGGAAGTACGGGTGCGGGGGGAGAGCCTCTTTTCTCTTAGTCATGCCAAAGCAAACCAAAGCCTGCGCCGCCGCCGCCGCGTCTCATTCACATCCTCCCCGGAAGGTTGGAACCAAGAGGCGTTTGGAAAGCGAGCGAGCCCGTTCAGAGGCAGCGGCTGCCCGGGATTTTCCAGCCCGGCTCCCCAAGGGGGAGTGAGGGAGACACTAGTTGATTTCTCCAGGCCGAGCAAGACTCGGAAGTGTAACAAGTCCGGCGCAGCCCAGTCCGCTCCGGTTCCTCCTGCTGCCGCCGCCGCCGCTTTTCGACAGTTGCCCAAGTTGGGCCAGCCATCCTGCCCGGGGAGCGCGGCGCAGCGGGCTCTCCCCACCTCCGCGCGTCCGCTGCCTTCCCTCCCGCAGACACACGCCCCTCCCCAGGCGAGGGTCCGTTCTGTGCTCCCTCTCACCTCCTTCAGTTCCTTGGCCACGTCCTTCAGGTCCCCCAGGACTAATTCCAAGTCGTCCACGATTATCTTGATCTGCTCCTTCACCTTGGCTTTGGAGGCTCCAGCGGCCGGCGCCGGCGGCCCTTCGGCTGGAGAGGACACGGACGAGGAGGTGGCGGAGGAGGAGGTGGTCCCCTTAGACTTGGCGGACATTCTTTGGGGGTGCGCCGAGTGGGGGGACGGACGGCAGCAGGCAGGTCAGGAGAGCTGAGTGGCCGGCGAAGGACGGCGACTGCGCCCGAGCCCGTCCCTCTTTGCCCCCGCGGAGCGGATGCTGCGGCCGCTGCCCCTGTCCCGGCTGCACATCTTGGGCGCGGGGCCCCGCGGCGCTGCGCTGCCGGCGCGCTCCGGCGCTGCCATCAACTCCCCGGCAACTGCACTGAGCGAGAAAGCCCGGGCTGCGGGCAGACGGGCGGGCGCTGCGCCTGCGCCTGCCTGCCTGCCGCCTGCCGCCTGCCTGCCTGCCCTCCCTCTCAGCGACACGGAGACACAGCCACGCAGGACAGCTCCGCGGGGCTCGCCGAGGAGGCGGGCAAGCCGCCCACGGAGCGCGCGGCGGCCGGCCAGCGAGCCAGCCAGCGCCACGCGTGCCTCGCTCGTCTCGACGCCCTCGCTGCGTGGGCCGCCGAAGACCCGCAATCCGCTCTAATCCCTGAGACGGCGGAGGGGCGCTTGCGGACTGTGCCGAGGCGATGGGGAGAAGGGGGGCGGGAAGGAGGGGACGAGCGAGGAGCGGGGCGCCTTGGCGACCCCCCCCCCCGCGCGCGCCGCCGCCGCCGCCCCGGGCAAACACCAATGCTTGCCTCCCTAGACCTCAGGCACTGCCCCGCGCCCGGAGAGGCCCCCCGCGAGGGAATGGCTTATTTTCTCTGGTGACTGCGACGGGGAGAGGTGCGAGCGCGGAGGAGCCCAGGGAGGCGGGGAAAGTCGACGGTGATGCTTCCTCGCCGAGGCTCGCCTTCCTTCCTCCTTGGCTCCCGGCTCGCTCGCTTGCCGCACACACTCCCCGCTGAGATAAGACCGTGCCATTGGATGCTGATCGCAGGAGATCAGCGATGGTTCGGTGCATCCCTCACACGGACCAGATCGGGAGCTTCCTCCGGTTATGTCGGGGTCAGAGAGTGAGACGACGAGGCTGCCTGCCTGAACTGTATCCCGGGGAACTGGGGCTTCCGTCAAGAATTGGGCGCCGTAATTCTTGTCGGGGGCATGGCTTTTTCTCGGCCGAAGTAGCCAGATTGCTTTCATACAAAGAATTAAAAATGGGCCAGCGAAAAGAGTTTTCGAGTGGCACCTTGATGGCTCTGCTCGCACGCTAGGCAAACAGGAGGGACGGAAGCCCAAGCGCAGGGCTACAGCTACGACGCGGCCATCAAGTGGTCATTATCCGCCAAGGAAGGAAAAGCCCTCCAGGAAGGGGGAGAGCGCGCGCGGTTGGAATGAGCTATAGGAAACAATTTAGAATGAGATGAAAGAGTGGGACGCCAGAAAGCAGAAAGAGTCAATCTTCGGGTTGGCCGGGAACTTTCGGTGCGTTCCGTGTGACACAAAGGATTCGTATAAAAAGTACTTCCTATGGAACTGCTGGGGAAATTCAGCCAGCTGCAGAGATCCAAGGGAGTGACAGCCCTGGTGGAAACCAAGTGGGCTGTTAACAGGAAGGCATAGCAGGTTATAAGTGCAGTGAAGTTAAAATAATAATAGTGAGCAGTGAATGCAAATCAGTACGAAAAACTGTTTTTCTGATTTATTTGGGGACCCAGCTATTTCACATGTGCTATATGACGAAGGAGTAATTCGGCACATGTCACTGAGAAGGAACCTGCTCACTGAGAGTGACAGAAGGGAAAGAAAAACATAGGAAATTGAGAGAGGCTACTGGCTCATTTTACAGGCACTGCCTGGTGGTGACTGCCCTGAGTTTCAGGCAGGATTTTTGTAGCTCTGCCTGGAGCTGCTGCATTCCAGGGTTGTGCCTACCACTATGTCATTGTGGCCTCTCGCTCAGAGGGGTGTGAACCAATGGCCTGCTGGCCACTTGTTAAGAAACTGGATTGATACCAATAGGGTTGGAAACAAGCAATCAGAACATTTTTTAGGAAATGGATACACACTAACAAGAGCTTACTGTTAGCATCAATTAAAGAATTAAATTAATTAAGAAGAGTTTAAAAAAAAAAAAGGTAATGGGGAAATATGTTCCTGTCTTTGAATATGAGCTCTGCAGCATTTCAAAGAAATTAGCAAAGAAGGGTAATTGCCCCACATCTATTAGGTAGATTCATTTTTTTCCAAATTTTTTTACTATTTTCTATACAAGTTTAAACTAAAAAACAACAATTATTCCTGAGGCATTGGACATCTTGGCAAACATCTTATTCTACTTAAAATTAATAACCATATTCAATTCTACATATAGTCCCATTTGTCTATAGGTAATTCATTTGTGAGGTTTCAACCTTTTTGTTGGGAGTGAGAAAGATAGTTGCTCTTGGTACACTTTCCCATGGTGTTCCAGCCGGGACTCAGGAGAACAGAAGGGGGGCTTGGAATATGGACCAATTCCAAACATTGAGATGAGAGATGCGGAAGTGCTCATCTCCAGGCCAGCCTCTGAGAATAATCAAGAGGCTGGCCTTGAGCTGGAGGGGGCTTAGAACAGGGCAGTTTCTCAGAAACCAGTGAGGCTGGTATGGCTCTTGACCCATGATGTGACATCGGCCTGTTTCCAAAAGGCCTCTCCTGAAGACCGAAATGCACTCATGATGAGAGTTCATAGAAGTAAATACTAGATTGGGTTAAATGAACTGTTCTGTGGAGGTTCAGAGATTCATTCTGAGTGTCTGTGCTTCTGGAAAATGCTTTGGTCAATAAAGAACATTTTGCAAGAAAGTTCTGTGGCTTTGAATGTGTGAAGGGAGGAACCCTAGCTCACAACACTTTTCTTCTTTCTCCTGTATATGCTAGAACAAGTTATGCCTAAAGAGTATTTGGAGACTTTGGCTGGTTCAGAGAACTGCTGTCAGACTGTTGACCAACAGAAAGCATACAATTCTTGTGCCGAAAGAGCTTTACTTCCATGCTTCCCATTCCATGCCAAATACTTAGGCAGATGTTTCTGGCTGCCATTCTTGCCCTGGTACACAAGAGGAGGAGACTGCCGGGGTAATATGTTTCCACCCTTTGCCATCTCCCTCCCTGCCCGCAAAGTTCTATCTGCTACAAAGAAGGGCACCCTAAATTTCTGAAGAGCTGAGACCCCAAATTATCCTATAACCATCTACACTATGTATAGTAGGCATAAGACTGTGCCTTTCTTTCTATGTATCGACTGTACTTTTAAACTTCCCAGTAACCAAATGTCTCAGGACAAAATATAATACATTAATACAAGCACTACATACATAGATATTTTAAAATCTAGAATAAAAAAAGATTAATCCAATAACACAGAACACAGCTGTTAGATCAACAAGAGACCAGTAAAATGCAATTAAAATACACACTTACTAAAACATTATAACATCAATAAAACATTAAGACACTACAATATTATGACATAATTAACAAACTGCTGCACGCTCACTCTGGGTAGATTGATGGAATTTCATTGGCACTTTTTGCATGCTACACTTGGTGTCTTTCAAATGCCAGTGACGAAGAAGGTGGCTTCTACAAAGAAAGAGGTTCATTTCCAAGTTGCTGCAAAATGGCATCTGCAAGTAGTGGTAAAATGAACAGGCCTCCTTTGATTATCCAGAGAAATACCCAGGTATCTTCCGGAGAAGTGCGATGATCTGCTGAAAGTTTCCATATATAACTGAAACTACAATCAGCCTAAAAAGTTTATCCAGATATAGTGTTTATACAGTGCTGTACAGTGAATACAAATAAATGTGTTTAATGACTACTCGTTAAATATATATTTATGCAACATGCTATTAACAGCTGTGAACTCATTAACTCTCATAAGCTAAGCTAAGGAAAGTTGGTGCTCATCTGTAATTAAATGATGGATGCACTGGCAGAGTAACCAGGCTGATGAAGTTTTCGTCTCAGCATAGTTGTCACTTTTACAAAGAAAGAATCAATACTGCATCTTACAGAAATGCTAATAAATCATGTAACTGAAATAAACTTTTTAAAAAATCTACCCAAATTGAAGAGATGAAAAGTCATCTTCCTATGTTACTCTTTACTTTCCTACTATTTTGAAAGTGTTTGGAGGCAGTGTAGAGGGCTGCATAACTGATTGTGTAGTAGTTCATACAAATCAGGAAAAACTAATTTACAGTGCAGCTTAGTAAAGAAGCCAATCTCACTGACTTCAATGAGATTTAATTCCATATATGTGGGACCTGGAGGCTTCCTGATTTTATTACATCCTTTTAATTGTTTGTTAGAACTCTTCTTCCAGCGGTAATTATTTTTCTGTATGCATATTAAGTAGCTGGTGTGTCTTCCACTTGTAAATAGATGGTTCGTGGAATATTGAACTGTTTAGCACAAGTAAATACGTATATTCAATCAAAACCAATATTGCCATTATTTATGATGAAATAAGGCACTTTTTGTTAAAATACCTCTGACATATTTATGGAGAAGGTGAAAAACATAAATTTAGCCTTGCATAATCAATTATCTCAGACTCTTCTAAACTTCATTTTCTCAAAAGCTTTAAACCCATAACTTTGTAGAATGCTTCTGTTTTTCCTAATTAATGTTTTGATTTTATTTGGAAAAAATACTGTTTCTCACTGCTCTCTTCCTGATTATTCAAGCAGTGCCTCTACAGCATATATGTACATTCAAAAGCAATCAGATGGATTACTTTTGAATGGGACTTGATGCCATGAACCCCAATCTATTCACTTACCTAGAAGTGAGCTGTCCTGAACACAGTGTGATTTACTTACAAGTAAACCTGCATAGAATTGCACTGCATGTCATCTAGTAATGTTATGGATGTATGCATTACTTTTAGTACATTTTAGTTAATATTATCAATTCATTTATTTTTTTATTTATTCCTTTTTATACTGCCCAATAGCCAAGGCTCTCTGGGTGGTTAACAAAAGTTAACAATAAATAAAACACAGACACAAGCACAAATTCAAAGTAAAATTAACTTAACAGATGCAAGATGCATATTTTCTAGAATGAGAAACAATTCATTTAGCTTCACTCCTGGACTGGTTTGGTTACAGCCATGCTAATCTATGGAATGCGCTCCCCAGAGAGGTCCGCCTGGCGCCGGCATTATTTGTTTTTTGGCGCCAGGCGAAGAACTTTTTATTTAAGCGTCATTTTAATTGTTGATAT